GGGGGGGGGTGGGGTCAGAGGCAAGAGAAGCACAGGGACACGGTGGTAAAGGAAGGGACGCGGCCAGCGGCCGTGGAGCGTGTCCCGCGGGTGGGCCAGGTGCACCCACCCCGCCCAAGCGCACCCGCCCGGCCGCGATGCCCTGGCGGCGGCGGCCGCCGCGCACCGCCCTGCCAAAACGGTGCACGCCCCCCGGCCTGCCCGGCAAGACCAGCTGCCCGCCCGCCCACCCACCGAGTGCACCCAGGCCCCACGGCGGAGGTGAAGCCAAAGTAGCCGCCGATAAGGTCGGAGGGCGTGAAGATCTTGTCGCTGCTGCTGTCAGCCAGGTCTGCGAGGGGCAGGCAGGCGGCGGCGGCGGATGAGCGGCCAGCAGGCCTGGGCGGCCGCGGATGGCGGGCGCACTCGCTTCGCTCCCAGCCACCGCCATACAGGGGCCGCTGCAGGCGCCGGCGCCGGCGCGGCGCAGCAGCCCACCCACGCCGCCCCACAGCCACCCCAGCCACGCGGAGTCCCTGCCGGTACCGCCCGGGCGTGGTGCCCCCACCTATGAATGCCACCTTGGCGTCTGGCGCCATGCCGATGTACCCCTCCGCCGCCTCCTCCGCCAGGGTGGTACCGTAGGGCATGCCCACCAGCGTGCCCACCACGTGCGTGCCGTGGCCGTTGGAGTCCTCGGTGTCGCCATAGGCGCGGTGGTACCTGCGGGGGAGGAAGGGGCCATGGGGGGCAGGGGGGCAGGGAGCAGGCTTTCCTTTAGTGGTTGTGCTTACAGTTTGGACAGCCGCATAGGTACTCGCGACACGGACCACAGGAGGAGGAGCAGGTGGCGGTGGGGCGGCAGGGACGGCAGCCAGCGGGACTGCGGCACCTCCCCGGTGGTGTGGCCGGCTGGGCGGCTTGGCGGCGCGCCCCGTGCAGCTGCCAGCCACACCCGCCGCAGCACGGCTGCGCATGCAGCAGCGACGCGATGCTGCCACAGCATATGCCCCGCCGCAGCGCCACCCGCGGCGAGACCCCAATCTAAGCCCCCCCCCCCCACCCAGACACACACACACACCTGATTTTGCGGTGCTGAGTGGAGTCCAAAGTGCGGATGCCGTCCTGCAGCGTCACCGACGCCTGCCACTGGTCGCTGCCGTCAAACGCGGGGTCGGACAGGAAGCAGTGGAAGCGGTCTGCATGGCGCAAGGGGGTGGGGGTTAAAGAGGAGGGAGGCAGGCTGAACGGCGGGGTGGGAAGGTGTGCCCGGGCAAGGGAAACAGGGAAACCAGCCCGCACGGCAGCAACCGGGGCACCCACAAATAAAAAACAGCAGCAGCAGCGGCGGCAGCGGTGGCGCGTCCCAGGCTGCCCGCCAGGCCGCGGCGATCTGCGCCGCCGACCCGCTCACCTATGCCGCTGTCTCCGCACCCCACCACCTGGCCCTGCCCCGTGATGCCTGCCGCCCAGATGGGGTGGTAGGCGGCGTCTATGCCTGAAGAGCCCGATGAGCTGGGCTGGGCAGACTGCGGCAGGGCAGCGGCAGGCAGGCGGCGTCAGGGTGTGGGGACGGCGCCAGCGGCAGCTGCAGCGCCAGCCAGGCCGCTGCACACCTGCACATCCACCCGCACCAAGCTAGCAGGTGCCAGTCCCCGAGGAGGCAGCCGCCTGACCAGCTGCCCTCCCGCGCCACAGCAGCCCGCCCGCACACGCGCCCACACAAGCGCCCACACACGTGTTCACAGGCACCTGAGAGATGGTGCTGGCGCGGATGTTGTTGAGCCGCATCTTGGGTGCGGGCGCCACCCAGTGCGTGGCGGGGCGCTGCGCCAGCCAGTCGAGCACCTCCGCCAGCCGCTGCGCCGGTGCCAGCACTATGGCGGCGTCTGCGCTGCCGCGCCGCACCCGCGCCCCAAACCGCTGCAGCAGCGGCGGCGCCCAGTCGGCAGCCGCGGCGGCGCCGGCGTCGCGGCGCTCCCGCTCCAGCGCCACCCGCCGCGAGCGCTGCTGGTGCTCCACCGGCCCCGCGGCGGCGCGCTTGGGCGTGGGCCCTGCAAGGCCGGGGAAGGCCACCACTGCACCCACCAGCAGCTGCCCGGCGGCGGCATTCCATTCAGAAGCTGCCGGCAGCGAGTCTCGCAGCGCCGCTGCCGCCTCTGCGGCGGCCTGCGTGGCGTTGGCGCCCGCGCTCCGGCCCAGGGCGGCCAACCGCTCTAGCTGCGGCGCCAGCTGCTCCAGCTGCTGCAGCAGGCCCCGCCACTCTGGCGCCAGCTTGTCCCGCTGCTCGTGCAGGCCCTGCAGGTGAAGCCAGGCGGGACGGCGTGGAGGGGCTGGCGGTGATGCACGTGCCGGGGGCGTCGCACATTTGGGTTGGCGGCCGGCATGCAGGCCGCACGGGAAGGAGAGCAATGCACCATGTAAACCACCACCACCGCCGCCACCCGGCTCACCAGCCACAGCACGTGCTCGTGCTGCTGCACCGCGTCTGCCGCCTCGGCGGGCCCCACCACCACAAGCGTGTGGTGCGGCAGGTAGTGCGCAACGTGGCACCCCGCCGCCTCTATGTGCGCCACCACCGCCGCCTGCTGCGGCTGGCTCAGGTCGGGGCGGTGCGTGAGCAGCCACTGGCGCGCGCCGCGCAGCGCGCCCCAGGCCGGGCTGGCGGTGTGGTGGCGGGGAGTGGGCGGCGCGGGCAGTGCGGCCTCGCCCAGCAGCCGCCGCTGGTGCCTGCGACAGCGATGAGCGCAGGCGTTGTTGTAAGTGGTGGGTTGCGCATGCAGCCATCCATCCAGGACGAGTGGTTGGTTGACCGGCAGCTGCTGCCGCCAGGTGGCGGCGCCTGGCGCGCCCGGAAGCTGGCGGCGGCGCGGCGGCGGCGGCGGCGGGTTGTGTGGTGCGGCAAGCCGCGGGCAGGCGCCTCCGAGGAGCACGGCGGGGTTGGTACAGGAGCCTGCAGCCGCCCCCTCACCTCATAAACTCCTCCTTTGTGTCAATTTGACGGGTCCGCAGATGAATGGTTGGGAACTCGACCTCTGGCGCCGCCAGGCCGTTCTGGAAGGCTGATAGAAGACAGCCTATGCCCAAGAGCAGGGCAGGAAGGTTCATGGCCAGACGACAACCGTCCTCCCCACTCGGATTCCACCTTGAAACCGGTCCAGGTGTTGTCTAGGTACGTGGGTTGTTGATTTCAAGGCCGCAAAGCGGTTGAAACGATCAAAATCGTGGGGCCGCGTTAAAACCATTGCGCCAGCTCAGCAGTTTTGCCAAACAAGCCAGGCGGCCTTCCTGGCGTCATCGGCCACCCTCTGTGTCGTCCCCTAGCCATCTGAAAGCAGGCGGCAGACGCTTGCCGATTACCCCCGACACCGAACCACTGCCGCTCCCCGCCGATCGCCCTTGCCCTTCCCAGCCCGCAAACATATGACGGAAAGCAGCAGCGACGAAGGAATACCACTGGCGCAGATGAGGGGCGCCAAACCAGGTGTGGCTGCTGGGGGAGCCCGAGCACAGCCCTGTAAGCCTACGCACGGCCGCAACTGCTTCCTCTGGCCCCGGCAGCAGCGCGATGGAGCTGTAGCAGTCCGCCTTCCTGCCGCCGCCATGCCGCCGCCGCCACGCCGCTGCCTCCGCCGCGACTCTACCGACACTGCTGTGTGCCCCGCGCCCACCCCTGCGCGCTGCTGCGCCAGCCGAGCTCAAGAGCGAGGAGGGAAAGCCCGGTGCCGCACCCGAGCCAGCAGCTGACGACGGCAGCAGCAAGGAGGACGATGTGCCGCTCAACACGCGCAAGGCGGGCAAGCCGGGTAGGTGTGGGGTGGCCTGGCGGGGAGCCCTCCTTCCCAACGATTTAGGACGGTTGATCCGAGCGCCTCAGCAACCCCAGCGCGGCAATTGGGGGTGCCATCGCTGCCGCAGCAGCGGCCGCAGCGCTGTCGCCAGTGTTGCGACGTGTCGCCGCCACCCCCGGCCCACCGGCCACCCCCGCACCGCAACACCCCAACCCCTTCTTTGGTCCGAAGCCCAGAACGAAAAGAAACCCACCACAAAGTCGGGTGGCAAGGCAACGGTGGAAGAGGTGCGCTGCCCAGGGGGCAGGCGCGGGGCAGGCGGGAAACCGGGGCAAGGTCGGGGGGTCAGTTGGTTCCCAACCAATTTGGTCGGTGTTGGCTTGGAGGCACCCTTTCACCACACCCAACCCCAACCCCTCCCTCTGCCCAGCAGGAACCCGAATCGGGAGGCAAGACGAAGCCGGGCAGCGGTAGCAAGAAGCGGGCGGCGGCGGCGGCGGCGGCCGACAAGCCCGCCGCCAAGAAGCCGGCGGCGGCGGCGGGCGGCAAGAGGAAGGCGGAGGGCGGCAACGGCAGCGTGACGGCGGCAGGGGAGAAGGTGAAGAAGGAGCGCAAAGTGTTTGACATGCCAGGCCAGACGCGGGACACGCCGCCAGAGGTGAGAGGCGGGCAGGGGGCTGAAGGGCACGGGCTGGCCGGCATGGGCAGCTTGGATGGAGTGGCGGGGAGGTGGGGGGCACAGGCTGCTCGGTGGCGAGCGTAGGAGGGCCAGGCTGCTGCTGCTGCTGGCACCGCTGCCGTCTTCCCTGCCTGGGGCCTCCCTCCCCAGACCTCAGCCCACCAGCCGCCGCCCGGCGCCCACTCCCGCCCTCCCCGCCCGCCGCAGGTGGACGCCCTGCGCCGCTTCTACTCCTCCCTCAAGGAGCAGCGGCCCGGCAGCGAGATGGCCACGCGGTGGTGCGTGCATCACGGGCTGCTGCCGCGGGAGGAGGCGGAGGCGTGGGTGGTGGAGCAGGCACAGGTGCGCGCAAGGGGGGACCCAGGCAGCAGGGCATGCGGCCAGCGTGTGCCAGCTGGGCAAGCTAGAGAGCTCGTGCTGGCCTGGCTTGGCAGCGTGCAGGTCCCTGCACGCTGCCGCCTCTCAGCACCGCCTGCGCCACCTGTGCCCCCGCCCGCCGCGCGCAGAAGAAGAGGGCGGGCGCGCCGTCGCCCAGCAAGCCGGCAGCCAGGAAGCAGGCGGCGGCAGGCTCGTCGGCCAAGCGCAAGCGGGCGACGGCAGGTGCGCGCCGGGCAGCCGGGGCTGGGCAGCGCCTCCCTGCTGTTGTCGCGCGCAGCTGCCACCGCAATGTGCGTCAGTTTACCAACCAGACACAGAACCGCTGAGAAGAAAGAGGAGCCGCAGCTACTTCCTCCCCATGCCCCTCGCCCACCCTGCACCTCGCCGTGTGCAGCAATGAGCGAGGATGAAGATGGATCGTCCGATTTCAAGAGCGCCAAGAAGAAGCCGGCAGCCAAGAAGAAGCCGGCAGCGGCCAAGAAGGCGGCGCCGGCGGCTGGCAGGAAGCCGCCGCCCACGCGAGACGTGGCCTTCACCGATGGCGGCCTGAGCGGTGCGCCTCAGCCTGCCGCTGCAGGCTGATGCTGCTGCCGGCTGCTGTCCACTCTGCCGTGTTTGCTTCTTGGTGCCTGGGAGCCTGTGGTGGCAGTGACACCGACAGTGCATACGTGTACCAACCCCCGCCGCCCGCCCCCCCGAGCGGCTGAGTGCAGGCAGCGACAGCGATGATGGCGTGCCGCTGCTTGCACGCAAAAAGGCGTGACCTCGTGGGCAGGCGGCGGGAGAGTGGTGCGCTGGATGGCGCGGCCCCTGCCGCGCAGCGGGTGCAGGGCTGTGTTGCCTGCCTCTGCCCGCTCCCCTGCCGCAGCTGGCCTCTCGGCAGCGCTGGGTAGCGTGTTCGTGCCTGAATGCCATGCCCTCTCGACGACTGAAATGCTGTCTACATGGCATGTGCATCTGAAAATTGCAATGGGTACCAAAGCTGCTGGAATGCCGCGGCTAAAGGGTGAGAGGGATGGCAGAGAGGGCAAGAAGGCTGAGAGGGATCTGGGGCAGTTGCTCAGAACGCTGCACACACATAGATCATGCAGCAAGAGTAGTGTGATTGGAAAGGGCAATTATGCGCTGCAGTAAATTCCAGGGAAATGACATTCAACAGAGGAGGTGGGCACAGGGTTGTGGTGTCATACCAAGCAACCCTGATTGGAAGTGTGTGAAAAGAAGAAGGAAGAATGGAACTGCAACCAGTACACGCGGTACACGATATCACCACCCACTGGGAGTTTATTGTGTGCAAGTGCACTGGCCAACCTCAGAGCTCCTGGTGCAACGCCGCCGGCGCCGCGCCGTCATCTGCGGGTGCAGGCAGCACGTCTGCCCCGGCCCACGTGTGCTGCTGCCAGATGCTGAAGCGCAGGCTCAGGAAGATGCGGAACTGCGAGGGGGCGGGAGGGGAGGGAGGCAGGGAGAGGGGGTCGGCAAGCCGCGGCAGCACAGCTCACCTCCCGCTGATCCAGGGCCAAAGTATCCTGTGCGTCCACACAGGACAGGCAGGAGCCCCCCCAAACACACACGCCATGCACACCTGGATGAGGGCCACCAGGCCCAGCAGGCGCAGGCCGTCGTACGACACGCCCCAGCCCGCCGCCTCCACGGCGCTCCGCCGCCGGCTGCGCGGCGGGTAGCGGTGCCGCTCCGCGGCCTGCGAGGCGGCGGCGTACTGCCGGCGCTGCCGCGCCTCGGCATACCCCGCCAGCGCCAGCGGCAGAACCAGCGACAGCAGCAGCTGCGACAGCCCAAACACCGTCTCGCAGTAGCAGGTCGCCACGTCATCAGCTGCCTGCTGGGCAATCGAGGCATGGCCAGTGGCGGCCCCGGCGCCGCCCGCGGCGGCGGCAGCGGTGCAGATGTTCCACGGGCAGGGAGCATCGGCAGGCCCAGCGCCCAGTTCGCCGCTGCCGTCGCCGCTGCGTGCCCAGGGGCACCGATCCGCAGGAGCCGCAGCAAAGAGGACCTCAAAAGGCACCGCCAGGCGTGTGGCCAGCTGCTTGAACGCCGCTCAGAAGAAGGGGCGCTGCCGCGCCTGCGTCACCGTCAGCAGCCTGCAGGCAAGGGGTGCCGGGAGAGGTGGTGGGTGGTGTCAGGCAGAGCATGCCGGCATGGTACCATGTGCGCTGTCGCCACCCGGAACGGCTCCCTAGCCGCTACACCGTGCACCGAGTGCTGGCTGCAGGCGTGCTCCACCTGCACAGCCTCCACACCGCACCTGCACAGCCTCCTGTTGTTGAGCATGTTGAGCAGCGTGCCAAAGGGAGTCAGCAGAGCCTCCAGATAGAAGGGCAGCAGGTATCCCAGCTCTGCAGGCAGGACGGGCACCACGCGGCTGTGGACGCAACCAGCAATGGAGGCGGCAGGCCTGCTGGCATGCACTGGCTACGCGGCAGCTGCGACGCAGGCAGGCAGGCAGGTTGGGCGCCGAAGAGCTGGTTTCTGCAGCTGACGGCCGCCAGGTGGGCTGAGCAGCGGCGCGGGCAGCCAGCGTTGCTCTCACGCGTCAGCAGCTGGGCGCCCCAGCGGGACCAGGTGACCCACAGGAGGCAGAAGGCTGCAAGCAAGGTGCGCGGGCAGGGGGAGGGCAGCAGGCGGGCCAGGCACCGCTCAATCGCCGCGGCCGGCGCCTCCTTCATGTGAAAGCGGCGGGCTGCTGCTGCCGGCCGGACACAGCCCCGCAGGCAAGTGGCGGGGGATGGCCTCGTGCCTCATCCCCAGTCCCCAGCCCCAGCCTCCTGGGCCCACCTGGCCACGTGTCGTGAGCGCCCTGCGCCGTGCCGCCGGCGTGCGCAGCCAGGTGCCAGACCAGCTGCGGGCAGAGCAGGTCGCTGAATGCCCGGGCCGCTGCCAGCAGGTAGGGCCGCAGGGCGACGTAGGTGCACCGCTTGGCTGCAGAGAAGACCAGCACTGCCAGGGAGATGGCGTGGGTGCCGCAGAACAGCAGGGAGATGGCAGGGGAGACGCCAGCGGGGGTGCGCAGCGCCAGAACTATCGCGATGGCGGCCTGCGGGCGGTTGGGAGGCAACTCCGGGTTCGGTGACGATTGTGCTTTGGGTTTGGGCTGGCAAACAGGTCCCAGGGCGTGGGGGAAGCATCCGGCGCTGCTCAGCGCGGCTGATTGACATTGGTGGGTCTGATATCACGCCAAAACACACAGCCGCTACAACCAACGCGCCGCCGACCCCACCACCTACGTGCCCACCTGTGTGATGGCAAAGGCTCGGTCCTGGGCAATGCGCTGTGTATGGAAGTGCTGGCGGAAGCCGCGCTCCGCCTCGCTGCTTTCAAACCGCATTGTGGCGCGGGGCTAGCGGACGGCGACACGGGTCGGAACCGGGCCGGCGGCGGCGGCAGTGGGATGCCGGCCCGCCAGCGCTGGCAGCCAAGGCTCGCAGAGTCGTAGTGCGTCACAGGCGTGAGGGATGGAGGGGAGCCCGCACAGCCTGCGGAACTCTGAGCCAGCCGAAGGCCAACCCAACTCACAAGACGCTTGCAGCTCGATCAATGCGGTGTGGTGACACCGCCATCACCTAGCAGCAGGCAGATGCGCATTCAGCGCCCCCGGGAGCAGGGCCATCGCCAGCCTGTTCCCACGTCAGCTTCAAACCATGTTCAATCACCGCCTGCTAGCAGGCCTGGACACTAAAACCAGCACTGATGGGCAAGAAGAGGCCCCCGGCGGGGGCGATTGAGGAGGAGGAAACGTTTGTGAGAGGGGGAGGCTCCGGCTTGGCCCCTGTGGTGGAGCGAAAGCTAAAGGAGGTGCGACATAATCCATTGTGCAGTCTAAAAAGTGTTTTGGGATGTATTGGCCGCCATGCATTGCATGCCTCACGCTCAGGGCTGGTTTCTGGCGTTCGCGGAGGGGCATGAATCGGTCAGAGGCGCAGAGCGCCATTGCCTGCCACCGCCTGATGTGCGGCGGTGGTGGCGGCAGCTGCCGCCGCCGCCGCCAGGCTGCTCTCGTGCCGTGCCTGCGTGCTACGGCTCCGCACGCTGCCTCACGCCTCACCCGCCTGCAGGAGGCGTATGCGGAGGCAGAGGCGGATCTCCTGTCCGGCAAGAAGGGCGGCAAGCGGCGCAAGGGAGGCCAGGCGGTGGCGGGCGGCGAGGGCGGCGACGAGGAGGATGCCTTCTTCTCCGGCCTGGCCCTGCAGGGCAAGCTGCCCAAGTTTGTGGAGCTGCTCAAGTTCAAGGTGATGCTGGCTGGCTGAAGAAAGGGGTGTGTGCGTGGCGGTGTGGTGTGAAAGGGGTGACGGGCAGGCGGCGGTTGATGGGTGCTGCAGCTCGAGAGCGGCGGTGGGCCAGCAGCGCGCAACCATGCATGATTGTGGCTGCCTACCGCCACCGCTGCCACCGCCCTCCCTCCTGCTGCTGCAGAACCTGAGCCGCGGGTGCAAGCTGTGGGGCGCCGTCATCGAGGTGTCGCCCCGCGAGCTGGTGGTCAGCCTGCCGCACGGCCTGCGGGGCCACGTGGCATACGCCGAGGCCTCAGACTGGCTGGCGGGGCAGAGCAAGGCAGCGGCGGCCGCCGGCGCGGAGGCAGCCGGCGAGGACGGCGCCGCCGCCATCGCCGCCGCTGCCGCCGGAAAGAAGCGCAAGGCGGGCACGGCGGCGGCGACAGAGGTGGTGCTGCCCCCTCTCACAGACCTGTTCACCATCGGCCAGCTGGTCAGAGGCACGGTGGTGGCCCTGCGCTCCGGCAGCAGCGGCGACAGTGAGAGCGCCGGCAAGGCGGGCGCCAAGAAGGCAGCGGCCGCAGAAGGCGGCGCCGGCGGCGCCAAGAAGAAGCGGGTCGACCTGTCGCTGCGCGTCTCCAAGATGAACGCCGGCCTGGGTGCGCCCTGCCTCCTGCCACCTGCCGTCGCCTGCCGTCGCCCGCCGCCTGCCCGCCTGCCCTGCGTCCCGGGCACGGGCGTGGCCCTAGCCCCTGCCTTTCCACCCCCGCATTGCCTTGCCGGCAGCCCAGCTGGTGACAGCCCCGCACACGCAAACCTGCCACAGACACGCTCACCCCCCGCCTGCGCCGCCGCCGCCTGTTGCAGGGCCGGAGTCGCTGCGTGAGGGCCTGGCGCTGCCTGCCTGCGTGAGCAGCGTGGAGGACCACGGATACCTGCTGGCTCTGGGGGTCAAGGTGGGTGCTGCTGCTGCTGGCATGTGTGTGTGTGTGTGTGTTTGTGTGTGTGTGTGTGTGGTGGGTTGTTGGGCGGGTGGAAGTGAGGCCGCGAGCCGCAGCGACGCAGCTCCCTGCCGCTGCCGCAGCGCCTGCCTGCCCGCGGCCCGGCTGGCAAGCAGGTGCAGTGCGGCGCTCATGCCGTTGTCGAGCTTTATTTCTGCTAACTGGCCCAGTGCACCCTTGCCCCTCCCCCCCCTGCCCCGCGCCAGGGAGTCAGCGGCTTCCTGCCCAAGAAGGCTGCGGCCGCGGCGGGCCGCGCCCTGGCCCCAGGCATGCTGCTGGATGTGGCTGTGCCCCCGGGGGGCGCCCCCAAGCCCGCCGGCGGCGGCGGCTCGGTGCTGGGCGTGGTGTGCGCGCCCGAGGCGGTGGCGATGGCGGTAGCGCGCGAGTGGGAGGGGCTCAACATAGGTGGGGTGGGGTGGGGGGAGAGAGTGCCTTGTGGTGGCGGCTGGTGCTGGTCGGGCGGAGGTGGTGAGCTGACGCGCTGTGGCGCAGGCTGCACCGGAGCCGCAGGCGGCCTGGCCGCCTCCGGGGGGCCCGGGCTCGCACCCCCACCATCCACGCAGCGGCAGCCCCCCGCCCACACGCCCCATCCCTGCAGGCTCCCTGCTGCCCGGCCAGCTGGTGGCGGCGCGCGTGCGCAACGTGCTGTCAGACGGCCTCCTCTGCTCCTTCCTCACATACTTCAGGTGCGGGCTGTGCTGCTGCTGCTGCTGCTGGTGGTGGTGGTGGTGTTGGTGGCTCTGCAGCCAAGCATTGTAGCCTGCTGCAGCCTGGCTGGCGGGGCGGTTGGGCAGTGGGCGGCTCGCCATGTTGCTGGCGCCGGCGCCACACGGGAGCACCCGCTTGCCATGAGCGCCCGCCCCTCCCTGCCCCTCCCTGCCCGCAGCGGCACCGTGGATCCTTTCCACCTGGGCGCTGACCTGGCGGCCGACTGGCGCAAGCAGTTCAGGTGCGGCGGCGCTGCTGGGCTGCTGGGCTGATGCTTGATGTGTGTGGCGGCCCGAGCCGCACACCGGCCGCCGCCCTCTCAGGCACCAGCCCTCCACATCTGCTGCCGCTGGCGCTGCTGGCGCCGCAGCCGCTGGCCGCCAGGGCTACCTTGCTGCTCACCTCGCTGCACGGTGCCAACCCTGACCCTCCCTGCCCCCCCGCGCGCCCTGGCCCCGCCCCCGGCCCGCAGCCCCAACCAGCGCCTGCGGGCCCGCATCCTGTATGTGGACCCCGCCTCCAAGCGCGTGGCCCTCACACTGCACCGCCACCTCATCTCCGCCTCGCTGCCAGTCAACTTTCCCATGCTGGGCCAGGTGGGTGTGGTGGCGGAAGGGGGGGGGG